GGGGGGGCGGCGGCGAAACTCAGAATTACATTACAGAGACCTCGCGTCGCCAGCTACCAGCCACCACGCCAAGGCGCACGTCGGCTTTGGCCTCCAGAGGGGCTTGGAGCGGGACAGAGTGCGCCAAATGTCAGCCGAGGGGGGGTGTTCACCGCATTCCCGTCGCCGTTCTTCTGTTCCAAGGCAAACCGCAGTATGTATCCAAGCACTCACGCACCACTCAACACAGAAACCATGCGCGCACGGTAACGCGTTGGATGCCTTGCGGTATGTCTGATCACGGGTCCCTCCCTCCCCTCTCCCCTCCCTCCCCTCCCTTCCTCCTGAGTACAGGAGGCCCCAACATCCAAAGGTTCCCAACATCAACAAAAGGCCATGAAACATGACAGCTGAAAACGTCTAGCCTGTTCACGACGACAAGACTTGCAAGAATCTTCGCAGGGACGTAAATGGGCAGAAGACAGAACGACTGTCATTTCATTGTGACAACAATAAGTAAGCAACAACGAGGTTGACAAGGCGTTCGACAAGCCTCTCACCCTCAGCCATCGCCGAAGCTCCCCGGCGTTCATGGCAGACACCTGCGCGAAAGAGTCCTCCAGGAGGTTCTTTCTGTTCACCTGCGGACGACCAAAATTTTGCGCGTACGGGCGCAAAAGAGCAACGCACGACAGCGTTGAGGGAGACCAACCAACGAACAACAAAACAAAAAAGCCTTGCCGGATTGTATACACCGACGGGACACTAAGCATGACGGGCATGATAGAATAGCCTTCGTTGTCTGCCTGCTATACTACGAGAAGTGGTATGGCAACTTTGGCACCGACTGCCTGGACAGTACAAACTTACGCGAGGACAAGTATGGCGCGCATGCTACAACGACAACGGCTTTGCAAATCTGCCTGCAACTTTGGTACCGACCCTGGCTCTCCGCCTTCCTCCCCCATGTCCCCGCAATCCGGAGCGAGGGTGTGTGGCCGGGGCAATTGAGATATATCATGAACTCTAATATTACACCATAGGAATCTGTCTCTTTCTCCCTCTCTCTCTCTCTCTCTCTCTCTCTCTCTCTCTCTCTTTCTCTTTATCTTTAAGTGGGTGTCTGTGTGTCTGTCTGTCTGTCTCTCTTTCTCTCTCTCTCCTCTCTCTGTGCCTCCGCGCCCCCAGCCTGCACGGACTCTTTCGGCACGCCCAACACGCTCTCACCTCTATTCGCATCGCTTCCATACCGCCCCCGTGCGGTACCTGCAAAAGCTTAAGCTGGTCCAAGAACCAGCTATGCTTCTGCTCGCGGGTTGTCGTTGCCACGCAGTCACAAGCAACAGTGGACAGCAGCAACAAAAAAACACACCAGAAAACGTTTCGAGAACAGATGCACAATTTAGTGGTGGGTGCAAACAAACGAACACAGCAGCGGTGGCATAGGAAGGTGAAATCACGGTACGTGATACGGTGCGTGGGGGGCGGGTTTCCCATCACCAGCAATCGATCAAACCGTACGCAAAACCCCTTCGAGCCGCGAGCAGATGCCACTGCTGTTGTGGACAAGGGAGATGGCGGCCAGCGGCGCTACCAAAACTTCGTAGTAAGCAAGAAAACAAAGTAGAGACTGTCCAAAATGGCGTATCTTACGACTCGAGCCCCGCAAGCAGCCAAGCGAGAGAAACAAAGCGCAACAAACCCGGACAAGGGCAAGCGGGTTGCGCAAGTCTGCATTGTGCCCTCGAGGCACGCGGTGCTTTCCTGCCGCCGCAAAACACCGCACGACTGCCTTCAGCGATGTTGGTGAAAACTATGCACAGTAGTCACGGACAAAAACAACGCAACGCTCCTCCTTCCAAAAACCCAAAGGTACGCCGGTGATCATCGCGCCTAACCGTCTCGCCGCGAACACCGACGACGCACCTGCCAGAACGGCTTGGACGCCACCTCGCAGAGCTTCGCCACCTGCTTCCGCGTCGAGGCGATCCACTCCTCGCTCGCCGCCTCCTCCCTCCTCGCCTCCCGCCGCCGCGCCGTCCCCTCCGCCCACCCCCCGTTCCCGTACGCCGCCCCGAGCCTCGCAGCCGGCCCGGTACCCAGCCCGAACCCTAACGCCCCCGCGCCCGCGGCGCCGGCTGCGGCGCCCGCGGAACCGTTCCGCCCTCGGCTCGCGCCGTTGCCGCCGCCGGGAGGCAGCGATGACGGGGTTGCCGCTCCCTCTCCGGCGAGCTGGCCTCTTCGCGTTGCCGAGGGCGGCAGCGGGTGCGCCTGGTTGACGATCTCGCCGTCTAGGGCCTCGTCTAGGGCCAGGCCGCCTGCCTCCAAGAAGCTTCTCACGGGGGGGGGGGGGGGAG